ATAATAATGATATAATAATGATAATCTTGATCTGTCTCAATTTAATTATCATTTCCATATGACAGTTGTTCTTGATGTCCATGAAGCCTTGGAAATCGAAGGCGTCAAGATTCAAAATAAAAGTGGCACCAGCAAAGACGCAAAATTTAAAGTGGTATCGTTTGCCAAATATGGAAAAGCCTTGGTCATAACTGTAAGTATTTCCAGTATTTGTTAAAAAAAAGTGTCGTGTCGTGTCGTGTTTGTTTTTTTAATAGAAAGGACTGCAACTTTGCTGTTGTTCATTATGTGATTTTACCAAGATGTAAGTCTTGACAAGCAAACAAGTAAAAAGTGTAAAGTAAAGTGTTTCATTTAAAATATTGTCAGGTCTCTCTGTTTGGATATGAATTAGATCAAGAAAATTTGTTTGGAAATATATTTAAATTAATATGTGTCAATAAAATCATTTCTTCTAATGACTAAATGTCCAATTTAAGGAACAAATCCTTAAACTTTATTGATATTTTTTCCCATTTTATTACACATTTGGAAAAAAATGCTAAATTGAACTTGCCATTTTCCCCTCAGAATAAGATATTACAGATTTGTTACTTTACAAAGTATAAATTATTGCTCTGATGTTATGAATTTCATATACCACTATGAAAAACTGAATCGAAGTACCAATAAATTTTCGTGCTGTATGTGGAACAACGTTTTTTTATGTGTGTAGATCTATGCTGTTGTCTGTTTACATGCTCTCAAAATTGTTAAGGATTTCAATTTATTGTTTTGGCCGCATCTCAGACATGTATTCCCCTCTACTTGTATTCAGCTTCCAGACAGTTTTACAAAGGGAGACAAGTTTGATACTGTGATTGACTTTGTCACTTCACCAGGACCAGCTGTGTGCTGGATGGATCCTGCTCAAACTGCAGGTGAGTGGTCACCTCTGTGGATGTTTTTTCTTTGTCACTATGAGTTAGGCCATTTCCAAAGGGAGGATATTAACATGTTCTTATGCACAGTAGAATTGTAAATGGGCTGATTTATTAATGTCATGCTCATACTGTGCTGGAACAACACAGGAGGAACTGCTGCTTTTTCTTTCCTCATCCCTACCATCATCATTTTCCTCTACTTCTTTTGTATGTTTGTCACTCTCTTTTGAACTGCTTTTTCCGGGGTGCCTTGATAGTCAAAGCTGTTGAGGTGAGAGAGGTGAGCAGAGTAAGCCTGATCCCCTAGTTGGACTTCTCTGTTGACGTCCTCCCCTTGGTGCTCATATGACCTGATGCAATTGCGAACGCCGTAAAACCGTACTAAAACTAACACTATCAGGAAGACAGGCTACTTTGGCTCTACTGGTCAGAGCCTTTCTAGACGGAGTGAAATACACACCCAATAGAAAAGCAGCAATGTTCAAGAAATAATTTATCTCCTCAGAGAGGAATTGGGTTGACGCTTTTATCACGTATGATTTGTCATTACTTCGAACATATCAAGTATCAGTAACATAAAGGCTTGAAACATCTCAAGAAACCAAGGCTGCAAAGGAAGCATCTGTCACTGTCCTTTATTTTCCCTTACAACTGAAACTAATTTTAGCCTTCTCTTCCTTCTGGTTTAGGTAATACTGAAGTCTTTTGAGTCCTCAGTCCCAGCCAACACTGCAATCATAATATCAGGAATTTTGGGTCAGCATTGAAAAAAAAAAGATGTCTATACTACTTTTGTTTGAAGTTTTCATAATCACATGTGAAATATGTTTCAGAGACAACTGGAATATATAACTTTAAAAATATGCGTCCAGCTTTCAGGTTGGCGGCGCCCTATGAGGGAAGTGAAGATTGACAAAATAGATTATAAAATTCTAAGATTACCCTGATTCTATCTCCCTCGGTGGACTTGGGATAACACTTTCTGTATACGAACAGGAGATGTGAACCCTTCAGAAGCAAAATAGCACACATGAACGTGAAAGTCCAATTGCATATTATAAGGGGTGAGGATTTTTTGTGTCTAGTTTGTGCCTTAAAAAATAATTTTGTCCTCCTTCGGAAGGTAGTTTACTTTTTTATTTTTGTTGTTGTTGACATTTTTGTAGTAAGGGCCTTGAACTCGTTCAATTTACAAAGATTCACTAATGACTCTTTCAAAAGCAAAAAGACTGACTTGTGACACAAAAACAGAACAAAAAAGGCCTGACTGGTGTACCTTTCCTCACTAACTCCTTACCCTACCTCTCCCCAGACAAGAAGTACCCGTTGATGTACACTCAGGGTCAAGCAATTCTCAACAGATCGTTTTTCCCGTGCCAAGACACCCCAATGGTCAAGGCCCCGTACTCCGCCTTTGTCAATGTCGCTGATAATTTCACAGCCCTCATGAGTGCTCCGAGAATGAGCCGAGGAGAAAAGGCCAACAGAAATGGCGTGAAGGAGTGTTTTTTCTTTGAGGTTCGAACTTACTTAACTGCATGTATCCAGATCTGTTTAATTGCGGTTTTTTGTGTCTTTTATTTCTCCCTTTCATGGGAATGTAGTCATTACAAAGAGTAAATGAGTGTGGTGGAGAAAGAGGAGAAAAGTATGAAGTGGGGCCTGGAGGGGTGAAGAGAAGAGAAGGAGAGGTGGGGGGGAGAAGGAAGGAGAGAGAG